AACCCCAAAACCCCAAAACCCCATGGAATAAAATTTTCAGCAATAATTTGTATCAAAAATAAATTTTAGAAAGAATATTCAATGGTCAAATGCCAATAAATATTTTAGTCTAAATTTAGCAAGGATTAGTATGCTCTAAAAATAGCAGAAATCATTCAATTACCCCTTTTACCTGTATATAATAGCCATGTCTCAACTTTGGACTCCATGAAGCCATTTTATAAAATAGGTAAAGCCAAATAAAATAGGCTGGAGCCAGTCCAATAGCAGCAAATAGCGGCGAAAATAATAGTCCAGTTATTAAAGCTACTATGAAAGTAATGATAAATGAAGGAATTAAAACAATGCTTAAGCAAATCTTCATCAATTACTAATCTTGACGCAACTCTTTCATCGAATAATTATACCCGCGTATAGATATCAGTATTCCTCCAGAGCAAAATAGATAGAAAGAAACAAATAAAAGCAGTAGTGGCATAAAGATTAGAGTTAGAAAATATAGGCCGCATAGGCTCCACTTATTCGGTTAGCTTATTACTATTTTCTTGCAGCTTATGAAACACATCCACTCTGCATGAAGAAAGTGATGGAATTTCAATCCACAGTTCCAGCAGAATTCATACTGACATTTTTTGCAGGTTGTTTGAGTATTATTTTCAAATTTTTCAACTTCCCCTCTACATTCAGGGCAGTTTGTAAGTCCAAGGATCGTAGTTTCCTTAGTTTGATCATTGATTTCTATTTATACATCGGCTGTTTTTTTGTTATCAAGAGACTTAGCTTTATATTCGGTAGAGTATTGATTGATTTTTACCTAAGATTCTATTTTTATAGTTTTCCGCCCATTTTCACTAATATATTCTTTCTTTTTTTCTTTTTAATAATGATAACTACATTCATTTCTAGGACATTTTTAGGTTATAATTTTCTGCTTTTATTGAACTACTTTTATTTCAGGAAATTAAGCACTGCATTACAGACAAAAAGTGTGTTTACAAATTAAATCAACGACTTGATCCCATTCAAATAGTGAATCGCATTAATAACACTTCACTTTATGATAATCATTATTATTATCTACGCATTTTTCATTGTAATTTTCAAATCTTCTATCTCCCTGCATGTAGTTATTTTTTTTGACATCATGATTAGGCTGTGGATATGATTCCATTGGAGTAAGTCTCTTTGGTGGAAGAAATTTTTTTTTCATGGACTCATTTTTTTGATTTAAATTTAACTGAGTTGAATTTTGGTCGCAATCTAATGTTGTATTAGTAATGTTAAAACTAGAGCTCTATTTATTGTCAGGAAACAATCCTCTCTAGCAATTTTGAGAAGCAAACGTATTAGATTACCCAGCAATTAAACCACTAGCTTCTTATTTCGAAAAGCTATCATTATCATATTATTCTTTACCTAATTTGTCAGCATGTTATTTTTCTATTTAGATCATTGAACTTTGCTATAATTCTCTTTATTAACTTGATGCCACTTATTCTTGTTGATGATTATTTTACGATTTTATTTTATCTAAAGTTTTTTTCTTTTGCTAAGTTATTTTTTAGTATTGCACTTAACTGGATTAAGCTAGATCTTGAGCCGCTAATTTTTGTTGAGAATTCATTCAAGTATTATAAATAATTTTAATGCAAGTAAATATTATATAACTATAAATTTATTC